CCTAACCTACCTGTACGCAACTGTACACAAAAACATTCGTCACTCTGCTTGAACGTTAAATCGACCAGTTGTTCGAGAATTGTTAATTACTGTACATCTGTCTTGTTGTATATCTATCATAAATAAAACGTGTCTATTGTATCTATGTTACTGTTATATAAAAATTAAATAGAACGTTGGAACGAAAAGATGGAAAGATATATGAAAAATACTTTACTCCCTCTCTCTTGTTTCGTAACGGTACGCGTATTCCGCTAAACACCATTAGCTAGAGCGATCATTAATCACAATTTCCTAATTATCACGTAAGATCATCAATCAAGAAACAATCGGTCGAAATCAAACAAAACACTGCGCGTCCTCCTCCCGCGCTGCGTCTCCGATTCCCGCCATTTGCAAACAAAGCTGCACCCGCAGCCCGCAATTCAATATCCCATTCTGTCTACCCTTTATCCAGCCTGATTATCGATCATTCTGGCCGGCCAGAATTCCAGTAATCCCCTTCGAACGATGCAATATTCGTATACGACTTGTCCAGGCCTGTCCAAGAGTGGAACACAGTGGAAGAGAGACGGACAAACCTCGTCGAAATAGCGCGATGCGTGCAAGCAAAGCACACCCAAAGTCGTCGTCGTTGTCGTCGTGGTCGTCGTGCGATGCTATACATATATGTCGTGGCGTCGCGACGCCTGCGCGGGTTCCCGCAACGATCAGCTGGCTGGAGCCCTCGCCGAGGCAAGAGGCAAGGAGGCTCAACCAAAGTGAGACGGAGTTATCCGGCGGCAAGAGCTTCGAAGTGAGAGAGTACGGCGCATCCACAGAGAGGAGGACGCGAGATATCGAATGGACGTGTGCTAGAGAAAGAAGGAAGATCGTTCAGTCTGCTCTGGTATCATCGGTATCGTCGGTGACGTCGAGGGGTAGCCTGATCGGCAGCTACGCACGTTTTTGGCAACGTTCGTCGGTGGCAATCTCTACAGCCGGTGCTCTCAGCTCGTGACAATGGTGTTGTTGATCGTGTGCACGACGTCGACGTAGCCAACCGAGAGCCGGCGCGCGGCTCCGCGGTTCCACCGTGGTTCGCGCAGTGCTGCCGTGACGGTCGATCGAAGCGCACCGCTGATAATACCTGGGACACGCCGCGCAACCATCCATTTTAACGACTCCACGATGCGTCTGCCCGGCTGCCACGTCGCCGTCGTCGTCGCCGTCGTTCCGTGCCCTCTCTTCGAATCCCCGGAGGGTCACCTCGGCCATGGGAGGCTGGTTTATCGTCAGCTACCAGCGTGAAGCCTTCTGCTCACAGCTACATCTAGAAACTCGTCTGGACCAACAGTACGTCTGCTCTCCTCTCTCGACCTCGGTATATCCGTACGGTTTTGTCTCGTTTCGGAGGAGATTACTCCCGTACTTTCGGGAGTACGACTTTGACTTTCCAGTTTCCGGAACTTGCGAACTTGAAATTTGACATCCCCACCACAAGAAAGTGTTCTCTCTAGTGTCTAACTCTTAGTCTCCTAGCCGGACTAAATTGTTAACAAAGCGATCAGACGAATACGTGCGCTCGATCGATCGTAATCGCAGAAGGCCGTTGCTTGTGGGGAAGGAGCATAAACACGGTGGTTAAAGTAGCGGAGACTCCGCTCGAAGGTGTTCTGATCAACCCTGGTCTGCTTCTGTTGCAGCTGCGTACCGAGAGGACTCTCTCTCTCTCTCTTTCTCTCTCTCTCTTCGTCGATAACCGGCCAATAAACGGCGCGGAGAGCACGCTCGCGAGGGAGAGGCAGCGCCGAAACCTCGCGGTAAGTACCAAAACAAATATATACTGCCGCGGATACCGTCGCCTCGCCTTCACCTTTTGCCATTTTTCGACGAAAAAGTGGATCTCGATTTTGCCCAATTGCACGTTTAGGTCGCCCCGTGAAACGTTGGTCGGCTCGTCGCTGTACTGCAAAGGGTTCGTTGACACCACGGCCGGAAAATCGACTTGGGAACTCTCGCTGGCCACCGAAAAAGGTCAGCGAGGATACAAATATAGAAGCGTGAAGCGTCGTTGAACGAGGCCGACAGTCGAGGAGGATCGAAGAGGAGGAGGCCGGGGGAGAGACGTGGCTGTGTTCGAGGGACCCTGGCAGTGTCCCTATTTGCGAATCGATACGAATTCTCCTCCCTGATGTTAACAAGATTGTATAATAAATAAATCAAATAAATCGATGCGAGACGGACGTTGTCGAGTCGTCGTCGATCGAGAACAGAGCTTGAAGAAGAACTTGTAATGTTCCTATAGCGAAGGTATGTGTGTTGTAACAACGAGTGACAGAGAACAGAATCTGAGAGTATAAAATACCTGCCATAGAAGCAATAAACGAGCGACGAGGCTCGTTTAATCTCGGACTTTCTGTAAACGAGAACCAGAATCGCGTGAACCAGAATCACGTTAAATAAACTAGAGGATGTGAAACTATCGTCTTCCACGTGTGATACAATATATAACGGAATAATAAAATAATAACAAAGTAAATCTTAGAAGTTCAATACGAACCGAAGAAATAAATAAATATTCAACGCTAAATAAATAAAACAGTTCGAATTCGACGTCGTCGTCATCCCCCTCCCCCCCCCCACGAGAGAAGAAAAGAGAGAAGAAAAAAGGGAAAGAAAATAACGCTTGAGAGGGGGTGCAGTCCCTTGGAACAGCAGCGGAAACTTGACGGTTCCTCGAGGTTGGAGGTGACTCGTCTGATGGTGACTCAATGACCGGTGGACGAGCGCGAGGAATCAGCGCGGTCCCCGTAGCCAGGATCGTCGCCACAGTCGCCGAGTGACATCGTCATGGCTCCACGTGTCGTCGACTCGACGATGATCGCGTTTCTGTTGGTCCTTGCCTGCTGGTCGGCCCAAGGTCGCGCGAGATTAGTCAGGTTCTACGAGTCGGTGCCCGACCTGCAGCAGGACAGACGAATCCCCATCAACGACTACGCGGTCCACGGCCACGACGGGCCGATCGTCGACGATCACGAGCTGCCCCGCGACCTCAGAGAGCCTTATCCGGGCAAGAGTTTCGGCCCTATGGGCCCGATCGACGGCTCTCTGCCCGACGACGTGTCCTTTCGAAGTCTGGCCTCCGAGCAGGGCAAAGGCGCCAACTCCATGGAGCAGCTGACGTCGAACCACGCGATAGACGGTGACCTCGAACACGGGAAACCCGAGTACAAGATCATCTCCGTGGAGTTCCACCGAGTCGAGACACCGTTCGTCATTGGGATATGGATCTTCTTCGCGAGCATCGCGAAAATAGGTAGGAAACTCGCGCGGAAACTTGAACTTGAACTCGTAGGTTCGAGGATTGATTGTTGATTGGTCTCGCTGGTAGCGGCGAGCAGCTCTGGCTTTTGACGCTCGGTCGACGAATCGGTCGAGAGAATCGAAACGAAGGACTTGTGATTTCTTCTAGCGATTCACGATAGCGTTCGGCGGTAATTTTTACGAATACGGCGGCAGATAATAAGGATTTCCTGACAAGCGTTCTTCAGCGAGTACTTTCGCGAGTCACTGCGTCTGCCAAAGAAAGAGCGGAGTTCTCGGCGTAAACAAGATAAGACGTTGATTTAAAGTTTCCTCAATTAAGATTTTGGTATCGTTCGCTCGAAGTTCCTTTGCCTCTCTTTGCGGTGATATTTCGAGATTCGTTAAGTGTGCGCATTACGCACAGTTGAACGATATTTTAGGAAATGATCGATTGAAAATTCGGGACAGAACGATCGCAAATACCGAAAATTACTGAGGCGGAAACGACCGGCCGAAATTTAATCCAATTTATCTGGCTGTGTGCTCTGCTCCGTGTTTGTACTTACATTCATTAAACAATACCAATCGTATTCCGCTTCCGATCATACGGAAGATTCGAGCTCGGTATAATAAATCTCGTACTTTACATCCTCGATTTGTTATCTTCGTAATTATTTCTTCCGCGTAATAATTCAGACGAGTGCGATTAATTTAAAAAATAAGCGCGGAATAACGTTTAATATTACTTTGTTCAATATTTATACAATATCATTCGCGATTAATTTAATCCGCGAACTAGCAAATTGCATTTTTCGTTCGTGCGAATTATTATTATTGCAGCCACTATTAAATCGGTTGTTTCACAGTTTATTCCCGCCCATTAACCATTAATACCTGAATGCTACATTGTTACGTTAAATGTCCTGCTGAATATTAGACACGCATTAAATTCCATAAATGATGGTGCATCGTGTTGCATTGTATCGAACGTGTCGAATCAATGTAAAACGTCGTTCCCACTTCGAGAGAACGGACGGTGTACAATCGGTATCGATAATACACCGTTCACGGAACTTAATGGAACACATCCACGAAGTAAAGACTCGAATAACAGGGGCAGGTTCCACTTGTTTCTCGGCAGTATCGATCGTGTTTGCAACGTGCTCGGGAACCACTATACTCCGTACCATAATGCTTTTTATAGATTCTCTATATCTTACGAGAATAGAAGCCAATATTCTGCCCTGCGTTCGACAGCGCAATCTGCAAAACAGACGTGTTCACCCACAATGAGGAAGCGAAATAGGTCGTCGTAGGTTTCGCCTTTACGTGGCTATAAGGGAGAATTTAAAAATTCATCGTTGCGATACGGAATACATATATCTCTCGTCTGGAGAAACATCGACAGTTTTCTTACATTAATTGCTAAACAAAATGTCTCGCGTATTTGATAGTTCGCCGATACGAAAACTAGAGTCAGGAAGTCCCGATCCGAATGCGACAAGCTGCAACAGGCGATATTTAAAACGTAGCTCAGACAGGACGATCGTCGAACGAGTGTTAATAATCCGCCCCGTTGCCACTATGGATTTCTCGCAATTCAGTACAGCGTCGCCTTTAATTATTCAAACGATGCACTTGTTAAAAGTTTCTTGTTAAAGTTTGCTACCGTACCGTAGAAACTTCGAGTTTTTAAATGTCTTGTTTGAATAATTGGAAGACCATGAATCGTAATGGCACGAGTCAGCCCACCGATGATATAGTTCTATATTTATTAATTAATTTCAAGGAATGACTCGATACCTTGGAGAGCTAAAATTTTTCCAAAAAGAAATTGAGAAATTCCCACAGTATCTTGACTCGTACCACTGCCATCTCTATTTCGTTAATTATAAATGATAACCGTGACCGTGATGTGCGTGCAGGCTTCCACATGACGCCAAAGCTTAGCAAAATCTTTCCGGAGTCCTGTCTGTTGATCGTTGTCGGCGTCGTCGTTGGTGTCTTACTGTTCCAGGCGAGCAGCGTCCACGTGTCACCCCTAACTCCAGACACGTTCTTCCTCTACATGTTGCCGCCTATCATCCTGGACGCTGGCTATTTCATGCCGAACCGACTGTTCTTCGACCATCTGGGAACGATACTCCTGTTCGCCGTCGTTGGGACTATATTTAACACGTTGTCGATAGGTTGGTAAAAATGGATCGAATCTATTAAAAAGCTCTGGCACAACGTCGTTGCTGAGGAATTTATACTTTTAATTTATTTCACTTCTCTTTTTTTTTTTTTTTTATCTGTCACATTCTTTCGTTTGTTTACTCTTTACTCGTACTCTGTAGGTAAAGAATCAACTTTAGAAAATAGTTTCAAGCAAATCGTCTCGTTAGAAAATTGATAAATAAATACGTGTAGATTTATCGCGTGTTTGCAAGGCTTGAACTATATTTAGCACATTACGATAAATTATTCTCTGTGAATTAAGTGAACAAAGACGAACACCGATATCTCTCTCTCTCTCTCTCGCGCTCTATTTTAAAATTTTTTTTCTTGCTGAAGTTGCTTTTTAGTTGGATTGATTTACGATCTGCGCAGTATTTTTTTTTTTTCTTTTATTTTATTTTTATTTGGCCTCTTCTGCGAACACGAGTGGACGAAGTTAAAGAGATCGTTGATGCGGAAATTTTTCAATGTAAACCGAGATAAATGGCGGTTTTTAAAAATAGTAGTCGGATTTTTTTCAGGGTTTTTTTTTTTTTTTTTTTTTTTTAACAAATTCGCTTTGGAAACGCTTTCTCGTACGTTTTACGTTTCGCGTTGGTTTCACCTTTCATTGGACGTTTCTGCACACGTTTGCCTTCATGTGTTTTTACCTACGTGTTAGCCTTACGAGAGACGCACTGCTGAGAGGTACGCAGAGAACGACTCTGAAGTAGGTATGCAGACTGCTTGCGAGATTGTTGATGCTGATTAAAAAAAAAAAAAAAAAAAAGAAAAAAACACTCCTTTCTCAAATGTAAGCATCTTTTGATGCGATACAATCGTCGTAAAGGGTGCTCAAAAGGAAGCTAATTAGTCCTCGTAACGGAATAAAAGATTCGTTCTTGATTAAACGGTAAACACAGGCGCGACGTGTACCTACTTTTCACGTCGTTGGAATCATTTGAAACGGAATTGAATTGGGTCTTAATATCGACTCGAAGATAAAGGAATCACCGACGACGAAATAAATACTCGTTTTCACTGTGCTGCTAAAAACAGTTCGCGTGCTACAAAAATAGCTGACAATCAGCGCGGTATTAACGCAACAGAGGAAAGAAATTCTTTTCACTTTTAAAGGGAGTACTTTAAAATCCCTGTGTACAACTCTTTCTTACGTCACTCGACCAGTTAGAAAAGCTCGCCGGTCCCCTTTCGAATATTGAACGAATAGACAAAAACAAATTTGCATTTGCACGCCGACTATTTTTTTTTTTTCCCCACGCGTTTCACATTCACCTTCTACAAACATGGAAACTTCTTCTTACGTCACTGGTACTCGACGATTGGTTAGAAAAACTCGCGTCTCCTTCTGAATATATTTTGAACGAAAAGAAAGAAAAAAATAGTCGGTTTATTTATTTTTTTTCCCCCCCTACGTGTTCACCCTCGCAGGAAGTTCAACCACGCGTTTCGCAATCAGCCTCTCACAAACACAGAAACTCGAGTGCGCGAGTCGATCTAAGCGTAGTTGAGAGTGAAACCGCCCACGCGATTTCTGTTTGCGGCGCAGCGTTATTCGTAAAACGACGCCTCATCGTTGCGAAACGACGTCCGGGAAACGATGATGTCCGCGATAATTAAAGACACCGCGAAATGCGGAATCGACATTCCGTTATCTGTCGTTTTCGTCGATGAATTAGAAACTGTGTTGCCAAAGCGAGTATAATCGTTGCCAAAAAAAAAAAAAATTCTACGCTCGACCTACGTTTTTATCTCGGATTACTGATTGGTTTTTTTTTTTTTTTTTGTTCTTCTTTACATCGAATTATCGACAAATTTCATTATCATCGATCCGATACGATGAAAGAGAGATGATCGTCATATTGAAAAGAGAAGGATATATGAAATGTTTCGAATGTCAAAAAAAAAAAAAGAAAATGGATCAGCGGGAAAAAGAGGAAAACGTTCGATAAATATTTGAAATATTATAATTGAAAAAGAAAAAAGACATATCAGATGAAAATTTCTGCCAAAATTTAATAACGCGAAAGAAATTCTATTTTCATGTTTTATTACACTGTGAGGGGGAAAAAAAAA